ATCATCACAACTCAAACACTTTACATAACTCAATACAACTCAACAAAACTCAAACTTTTTATCTTGATTTGCAATGCATATGCGTGTGTAGGCAACATTGATGTCAATAATCTCATGAACTATAATAACCATACAATTTAACCATACAATTTGCAACATATATTGAAATAGTTAGTAATCAAAATAATTTAGACTATCAATAATAAAGTATTTTTACAACTTTGCTCTACATCTTCAATGGTTGCACAGAGAGATGAAATAACCAAATACCAAATATCAATTCATTAATTGTTTATCTTCTCTTACAAGCTACTATATGTAGTAATTTTCAATATTAACAATCCAACAACTAACTAACAACCTATTTGAACAGGTGTTACCTATAGGATAATGTCATCTATCATAGCATCTTAATAATACCCCCTTAAAACTGAACTTTTAGTAAACATTGAAACAATACACAAAACAACTGAATAGATTGACAACACAAAGGTTAACAACTTCTAGAAACTTCAGTTTCAATTCAACTTATCAAGTAGCATATTCCACAGAGTGATTTTGCCAATGGACCATCCTGTAAAATACCAGTGTTAGTGAAAATTGGCAGAGGAACTGTGGTTTGTACATGAGCCCCCAAATGTTTCTTCAAGCAGGAGATATGAAACATAGGATGTAGTTTGGATTGCTATAAAATCGAAGTTGAAGTTTGTGAAATTGATGTGCTGCCAAGGATTTGTGTTGGTAAGGAACCAATCTCAAATAAACCCCATCTCCAACTTCAAACATCATTTCTGTCATCTTTTTATTAACTTGAACTTTCATTTTACATTGAGCAGCCTCCAAGTTATTTTTGAGCAAAGACAAAATTTTGTTTCTCTCTTGCAAGCATTGTTCAACAGACTCCACTTTGGTTATACCACTTTCATATGCAAGAAGGAGAGGAGGAGCATAACCATAAACTGCTTCAAATGGTGTTATTTTAATAGCAGATTGGAAACTAGCATTATAGCTCCATTTTGCCCAAGAAAGCCATAAAACCCACTTCATTGATTGTAAACTACAAAAACATCTTAAACAGGTCTCCAAAGACCTATGAAGAACCTCAGTTTGTCCATCTGTCTATGGATGGTATCCAGAGCAAAAGCAAAGTTCAGATCCTTGCAAAATGAAGAGTTCTTTCTAGAATTTGCCATAAAACCTGGATCTCTATCATTGATTATAAATTTTGTCAAGCCATGTAAGTTGAAGATGTTGTCAACAGAGAGTTGAGCAACTACTCAAGCTAAATATGGATGTGTAAGTGCTGTAAAATGGGCATACTTAGAACAAACGATCAACTGCTACCCAAATTACAGTTTTCCCTTTGCAAGGTGGAAGACCAACTATGAAATCCATTGAAATTTCATACCATACCTTAACAGGAATTGGCAAAGGCTGCGAAAGTCTAGGTGGAAATAAAGTCTCATATTTGTTTTGCTGACAAGTAGCACAACTAGCAACTCTCTCTTTGATATCCTCATGCATACCTTCCTAATAGAATGAATGATCTGATTATTCTTTGTAGGTTTTAAGAAATCCCTCATGTCTAGCAGTAGGGCTTGAGTAATATTTAGTAAAAACCTTATCTCTCCAAGAATTAGCACAATAAAATTTCTCCTAAATGAATTGTTACTCTTTAAATTTAGAGATAAACTATTCATTTACTAAATATTAAAAAATAAATAAATAAATAAACTCAAAAGTGGACCCTTGGGCAAGGAGAAAACAAAGAGAGAAGATTGTTTTAGAAATTGTTTTTTCTCAAAAAACAAATCAACTATTAAATAGACTGACAAGGATCACATCTAGTACCAAAACACTCAAATAAAAAGGCATTCCTAGTTATAGTAAGCAAGGCTTTATTCTAAATATGTCAATTATGAATACTATGTTGGAATGTTTGAGTAGAAATTCCTACTTATTCATATATCCCACATTGATGAAGTAAAGGCTTCTCATACACTTAATAACACTTGGCTTTCCTCCTCTAATTAAATTGGGAGATGGGCCGTGTGGAGCAATATATTACTTTATTAAGCGCATAATAATTATATATCTAATTATAAAAGCTTAAGGCCTTGGGCCTCTAGACTCTTTGAATTAATCATCAAAATTTGGTTTTAATTCAGTCATATCCTTTCCAAAAGGATAAGTCTGATGAGAAATACTTTGTAGTTGCTCACACCTGTTGGTATTAGGTTCATCGTGTTTTACATAAACACATCATCGCATAACAAAAAAAATCATCATGAACCCCAGACTTCCATACTTGTTTTCCTGTTAAGAACCACATTGATTTTCACCAAAAATCAAATTACTAGTGCTGGGATTTTGATTTAGACAATTGAATCTTGGTGAAGCGGACACCTAACAAACTATAAGCACAGAGTAGATGCGAAAATTTGTTTCAAAGACATTGCAATCCGCAAGCCTTTGGCTACTCAATGAGTTAGTGATTCATATTGAATTTATCATTATTCTCTATTATCTATCATTTGAATTCATTTTGTTATGCCATTATTATTCAAAATCCAATTTTGAATAACGTACATATATATACTTGATGTATTACGTTAATTCTAGTTTCTAGAATTATATATATATATATATATATATATATTAGTTTATATTGTGATTTTGTATTATTAATTTTGTCAAATACATTTGTAGAATACAATCTTGTTGATCTATTTCCAACAATCTTGAAATACATTTTAATGGATCAACAAAATGTGTCTGCGAATGATGTTAATGGCTCCAAGAATCCTTACTCGAAAAAGCCAGAGAAATTTAAAGGAGTTGACTTTAAGAGATGGCAGCAAAAGATGCTTCTATCTCACAACAATGAACTTGACACATGTTGTCAAGGAAGATGCTCCATAGTCTGATGAAGATCCGCTGTCAAAGGAAACTTTGAGTGCAATTGAAGTTTGGAATCATTTCGAGTTTAGTTGCAGAAACTACATATTGAACAGTTTGGATGATAATCTCTATGATATCTATTCACTCTGTAAGACTGCAAAGGAGTTGTGGGAATCCTTGGAGAAAAAAATATAAGAATGAAGATGAAATTCGTAATTGGCAAATTTTTGAAATATTCTATGGTGAATTCCAAATCCGTTGTTGCTCAAGTTGAAGAACTCCAAAAGTTAATCCATGAACTTTATGCTAAGAAATGTGCTATCAATGCATATTTCCAAGTTGACGCCATATTTGAAAAATTACCACCCTCTTGGAATGATTTCAAAATTTACCTTAAACATAGGCGTAGAGAAATGAATATGGAAGATTTAATTCTCAGGTTGCTAGTGGAAGAGGATCACATGAAGGAAGACAAGCATGATGAGTAGCTTAAAGCCAAAGCTAGCTATGTTGAAGGAGAAACTTCAACACCTAAGCTAAATTCTCATAAAAATAAGGGGAAGAAATCCAACAAGCAATGTTTATGCACCAAAAGTCAAGAACTCTAAGAAGATGATCAAAGGTTGCTGCTATGTGTGTGGAAAAGTGGGCCATAAAGCACATGAATGTTGCCATCGAAAAGATGGAATTCATGCTAATGGAAATAACAATAACAACGGCAAAACCATGCAAATATGACTATGACAGAAGGTGAATTTGTTGTATCTGAGACTAATATGGTTTCGAATATTAGTGATTGGCTAATTGATACAGGTGCCACTAGGTACATATGTGCTAACAAAAACATGTTCATGGAGTATATGCTGCTACTGCTGGAGAGAAATTATATATGGGAAATGCTGCAACATCTGCAATTGAAGCAGAGGCAAAGTTGTACTCAAACTCACTTCTGAAAAAAGCCTAAAATTGCTTGACGTGCTACATGTTCCTGAAATAAGAAGAAACCAAGTTTCTGGCCCTATTCTAATTGCTAAAGAGTTCAAACTTGTATTTGAATCCAATAAATTTGTCCTAACTATAGGAGGGATTTTTGTTGGAAAAGGCTACATAGCCGATGGCCTTGTAAAACTCAATGTATTGGTTGTTGATGTTATTAATAATATAATTAAGGCTTCTACTTATATTGTTGAGTCCTCTAATATTTGGCCTGCTAGACTAGGACATGTGAATTTTCGTTCTATGCATAGAATGGTTAACTTAAAATTACTACGTAAATTTGAAATTAATTTTAATCATAAGTGTGAGACATGTATAGAATCCAAATTTTCTAAACAAACTTTTAAGTCAATTTTGGGAAGGTCAAATGAATTGCTTGGTCTAATTCATAGTGATCTTTGTGAATTTAAAATCACTCCAACTCGAGGAGGAAAGAATTATTTATCACTTTGATAGACAATCTTAGTAAGTATTGTTATATTTATTTGATTCATAGCAAGAATGAAGCTTTGAATATTTAAGACATATAAAGCGGAAGTTGAGAATCAACTTGAAAAAAAAAAAATCAAAGCACTTAGATCCGATAGAGGACAGGAGTATGAGTCTTTAGCCTTCTCAGATTTTTATGCACAACATGGACTTATACATCAAACAACGGCTCCATATACATCACAACAAAATAATGTAGCTAAAAGAAAAAATAGAACATTTGAAGACATAACTAATTCCATGTTAAATAACTTCGAACTTTCACTCAATTTGTGGGGTGAAGCATTACTTACTGCAAATGTCATACTAAATAAAGGGTCAGTTTGGTTTCAGTCCTTAATCAACTTAATTGTTAGACTGAAACCTTGTTTGTTTAAATATTTTGATCGAGGTCCTTAACATCATTTAAGATATTTAACTCATGCATTTATACATTTAATGTCCTACAAATTATGAAGTTTAAACAAATTCAAATAATATTTTAAAAATATAATAACTACTTAAAAATAAATATTAGAGTAATATTGACACACCCCGACCGAGATCAGGGCGTGCTGGCCGTCACGTGCAAGTGACGTAGCCATGTGCACAGTGCGGAAGCTAATAAGGTAATAATATAAAAGTACGATTAATTAAAAACTAGCATACATAAGGTCAAAGTAAAGAGTGCTAGTGCGAGTGAACCGCTAAGTTCAGAGCATTAAGTCTACAGCAGTCCAAATTAACATAATACGATAACAGTGCACCCGAAGTGACCCTACATTGGTGCGTGTCTGTCAGAAGCGCCGGGAAGCCCTCTGGGAAACCACCGAACCTGCTAGCTAGCTAAAACCTAGAGGGGCGCAAAACAAAAGCGTGAGTGGGCAAAAACAAAGCTCTTTGAAAACCATTTAGTAAAATACATTCTAACCCCTCACCGTAAAACCTGTATACTTCCCAGAAAATAAACATATATACGTATGTATAAATATGCCAATCATGCTCAAGGGTATGCCATGTCAAATCCTCATAATGATATGCAAGTGCTCAGGTATAAACTGTATCAATAACCCATCACTGGCAGCCGGAGTCCCCTAAGTGACCTGTACGGCTGAATCTAGAGCTCAAATCTCAAACTCAACACTAAACCTGCCCACGAGTCGGAACCACCTGTAGTGGTCTGTACGACAGGCCTGGGTGTAATACATATAACGCTCTAGTGCTACGATCACGTGAAGGCTGTGCGAGTAATCGCGGGTCACCTACGAGTCGGAACCACCTATAGTGGTCTGTACGACAAGACTGTGCACCTAACTTGGATCCAAGCTGAGTGTGTGGTGCGGGAGATGAACGACACGTGAAGGACAGTGCCCTACTCTGGGCAGGAGCACTAACACCGGGGGTGCAGGTTATGAGCTCTCTAATCGTCTCTAACCACTATTTAATGCAATTGTTAAGTAACGCTTACCTGGCGCTTACCTGTGCCTCCACAGCACCATCATATACATATAATTGAATGTATAAATAACGTATATGTAACTAATCATGCATAAACACCAATAATATAAAAGAAATGGCATATAACAGATAAGCATTTATATAAAATTTCTGGGAATTATAAGTATATAGGTATATACGGAAAACAAAAGCCCACTCACTGATACGTGGAAGGGTCGTAGCCCCCCTGCCTCGCGTGAGCACGCTCGTCCTCGGGATACATGTCACCTGTCCAAAAACTCCATAACCGGCCAAGCTCGAACCAAGCTATTCTGACGTCCACTTCCGTCCAACGATGCACTCCGAGGCTCCTTGGGACCTCACTAACACAACTACAAGCTGAAAATGGTATGATCGTGCTCCCCTCGACCTCACGATCTCGACTGTGATCTTAGATTCTTCGATCTGTGGTGAAATAGTGTAGTTGTGTGTGTGTCCGTACCAGTTCAAAGGAAGAGGAAGAAGAAAGGGAACTCGGGAGAGAGAGAGAGAGAGAGAGAGAGAGAGAGAGAGAGAGAGAGAGAGAGAGAGAGAGAGAGAGACAGGGAAAGGGACAGGGGAATAGGGAGAGTGAGGGTGTGAGTGTGTGGCCCAGATTGTGCCAACACACATACAAAACAACCAATAACTTAACATAAACGAACTAGGGGTAAAAATGTCATTTCACATGCACGTTTTAGATAATTTCCGGGACGGGATGTCACAAATATTGTTCTTCACAAAATTATAGCAAGAAAATAATGTACCCATATAATTATTAACATATTTTAAAAAATAACTACTGATATATTTTAAAACATAAAATAAATACATAAAATTAGCATGGGTACATTTAGCAAAATTAAAAATGGGTACAAATAAATAAAAAAATATGGGTACAAATACAAATAAAACTTTAAAAAATATGTGCACAAAAAGAAATTAATATATGGGCACAAATTAAAACTGAAAAGAAAATTGGTACAAATTAAAAAATGGTTGCAAATTAAAAATGGATACAAACTAAAAATAAAAATATATGATAAAAAAAAATTTAGCCATAAATATAAATATACTAATTGTAACATTTTTAACACTAAATGAATATATTTAGAAATAAAAAATATTTTCTTATTGAAATAATTAATAATGCTATTAATACCCAAGGACCTTGATCAAAAATTGAAAAGGAATGAGTTTTAATCAATGAAATAGTAAAAGAAGGGATGAGAACCTAATTTCTCCTTAAATAAAATTCCTCATAAGAAGACCAACAAGTCACCTTATGAAGAATGGAGAAGACATATACCTACATACAAACCCCTCAAAGTGTGGGGTTGCCTAGCGAAAGTCCAAGTACCTTCCCAAAAAGAACCAAACTTGGACCTAAAACTATTAATTGTGCATTCATAGGATATGCAAATAATAGTGCAACCTACATATTTCTTGTAGTAAAGTCTGCAATTTCGAACATACATGTTAATATGAGTTAGAACCGGTAAATGCGGAATTCTTTGAGGATATTTTCCCTAACAAAAAAAAAAGAATAAAAAATAAATGAGTCTAGTTCAACAAATAAGAGAATGCATGATCAGAATCATGGTGAAACCTCTTCTTTAGTGATCCAAGATCATGATATGGAACCAAGAAGAGGACAAAGAAACAAAATTCCTAAAAATTGGGGACTAGATTTCATTGCCTATTTGTCTGAAAAGGAACCACAAACTTATAGAGAAGCTATGGCTTCCACTGAGGTTGCTTTTTGGAAGGAAGCAATCAAAAGCGAAATAGAATCGATTATGCAAAATAATACATGGGAATTGGTTGACCTATCACTCACTAGTAAACTAATTGGCCATAAATGGATATTCAAAAAGAAGCTTAAAGCGGATGGAACAATAGATAAATACAAGGCACGATTAGTTGCCAAAGTTTATTGCAAAAAAGAAGGGTTAGATTATTTCGACACCTATTCTCTAGTTTCGGGGATTGCATCTATTATGACGTTAATTGTTATTGTGGCTGCTTACAATTTAGAAATTCACCAAATGGATGTAAAAACCATATTTTTTAAATGAAGAATTAGATGAAGAAATATATATGGAGCAACATGAAGGTTTTGTGGCTAAAGGACAAGAAAATAAGGTGTGTAAATTGGTTAAGTTATTATATGGACTTAACCTAAACAATGGCATGAAAGTTTAATCTTAATATGTCACATCCCAACCCAGGCCGGATCACTTCCCGAGCCTGCTCCACCACCGTAGCATGATATTATCCACTTTGGGCTTACCATTCTCTCATGGTTTTGTTTTTGGGAACTCACGAGCAACTTCCCAGTGGGTCACCCATCATGGGATTGCTCTAGCCCCCTTCTTGCTTAACTTCGGAGTTCAATATTGGTATCAGAGCCAATCTCTGGCCGGAAGTGTGCCAACGAGAACGTCGGGCCTCTAAGGGGGGTGGATTGTGACATCCCACATCGCCCAAGGGAGTGAACCTTATATGTATATTCCCATCTCTACCTAGCACGAGGCCTTTTGGGAGCTCACTGGCTTCGGGTTCCATAGGAACTCCGAAGTTAAGCGAAAAGGGGGCTAGAACAATTCTATGATGGGTGACCCACTGGGAAGTTGCTCGTGAGTTCCCAAAAACAAAACCGTGAGGGAATGGTCAGCCCAAAGCGGACAATATCATGCTACGATGGTGGAGTGGGCCCGGGAAATGATCCGCCCCGGGCCGAGATGTGACAGTTTGGTATCAGAACCTAACCCTGGCCGTGGTGTGCCGACGAGGACGTCGGGCCCCTAAGGGGGGGGATTGTGACATCCTACATCGCCCAAGGGAGTGATCCTTAAATGTATATTCTTATCCCTACCTAGCATGAGGCTTTTTGGGAGCTCACTGGTTTCGAGTTCCGTAGGAACTCCGAAGTTAAGCAAGAAGGGGGCTAGAGTAATCCCATGATGGGTGACCCACTAGGAAGTTGCTCGTGAGTTCCCAAAAACAAAACCGTGAAGGAATGGTAAGCCCAAAGAGGAAAATATCGTGCTACGGTGGTGGAGCGGGCCTGGGAAATGATCCGCCCCGGGCCGGGATGTGACATAATATATTAAAACATAGGTTCAAAATTAACAAATGCGATAAATGTGTATACATTAAGAGTAATGATAACTCTTGTGTTATTCTATGTTTGCATGTTGATGACATGCTGATAATGGGCAGTAATAAAGATGTCATAAACAAAACAAAGAAAATGTTGAATTCAAGTTTTGACATGAAAGACTTAGGTCTTGGTGATGTCGTTCTTGGAACTCAATTAAGGAGAAATAGTGAAGGCTATATTTTTACTCAGTCCCATTATGTCAAAAAGATATTGTGGAGGTTTGGTCATTTTGACACTAAACTTGCTGTCACTCCAAGGAAGTCGGGTCATCGCACGGGTCAAGGGGAACCCAACCGATTCCTTCCATCTCCTTTTCCCTCATTTCCCTTCTTGGTCTCTCTTCCCATTGGTCACTCATTTCTCTTTCTTTTCCCGATTAGGCAACGCCCATCCTCTTTCTTTTCCTTTATCTTTCATCTCCACCACCCAACTCCTTGATCTTTAGTAAAGACAGATTAAGCCAAAAAACATTTTTTTCTTTTCGAAAAGTCTCAAATAAATTTACAATTTTGCCCTCAACTTCATTTGTTAATAACTCCTTTGTTATAACTCCAATTTGCATTCCGTTTACGCCCATGAGTTATAGCGACGAGTACTATGAGGATACGCCAAGAAAATGAACTTTACGTGACATGACAAGACGGTCAACAAAAGTCAACATCTTTGCCTCAAAGGGCATTTCCGTAAATTCACATTTAAAAATTATAAAGACTATAATTTTTTGGGGATGGGTCGTTACACTTGTTGTATTACATTAATTTTAGTTTCTAGAATTACATACATACACACACACACACACACATACATACTGTGAGATCCCACATCATCCAGGGGAGTGGATCCTGTAAGCCTTATATGTATATTCACATCTCTACCTAGCACGAGGCCTTTTGGGAGCTCACTGGCTTCAAGTTCCATAGGAACTCTGAAGTTAAGCGAGTAGCACGTGAGAGCACTCCCATGATGGGTGACCCACTGGGATGCTCTCGTGTGAGTTCCTAGAAACAAAACCGTGAGGGCGTGGTCGGGGCCTCACAAGAGAACTTCCCAGTGGGTCACTCATCATAGGAGTGCTCTCGTGCGAATTCGCTTAACTTCAGAGTTTCGATGAACTCCGAAGCCAGTGAGCTCCCGAAAGGCCTCGTGCTAGGTAGAGATAGGAATATACATATAAGGCTTACGTGATCCACTCCTTTGGACAATGTGGGATCTTACAATCCACCCCCTTAGGGGCCCAACGTCCTTGTCGGCACACACACGGCCAGGGTTATGCTCTGATACCAAATTGTCACATCCCGGGCTTGACTCTGCCACCGTAGCACGATATTGTCTGCTTTGGAGCCCGAACACGTCTTCATGGTTTTGTTTCTGGGAACTCACACGAGAACTTTCCAGTGGGTCACCCATTATGGGAGTGTTCTCGTGCAAACTCGCTTAACTTTAGAGTTCCGATGAACTCCGAAGCCAGCGAGCTCCCAAAAGGCCTTGTGCTAGGTAGAGATGAGAATATACATATAAGGTTCACAGGATTCACTCCCATTCGTGTGAGTTCCCAGAAACAAAACCGTGAGGGCGTAATCAGGGCCCAAAGCGGACGATATCGTGCTACGGTGGTGGAGCAGGCCCGGGATGTGGTGGACCCCAGGCCAGAATGTGACACATACATACATACACTTCTTGTGCTTTAGACCTTTTATATAATAGTTTACATTGTGATTTTATATTATTAATTTCATCAAATGTATTTGTAAAATGCAATCTTGTTGATCTATTTCCAACATACCAAGCCCAACACTAGTAATAGCATCAACTAAAAACATGTCTCCAAGAAATAAAATAAAATGAATTTGCCAACCACGGCAATAATGGAGCTATAAATTATTTGGTGGGTGGGCGGGCTAAGCTAAAAGTATTACTACGAAATCAAATACTTAAATTTTTTTTGTTAATTACATAAAGTTATATAATAATAAACCTGAAAACAATAATTTGAAGTAAGAAATTTAACTCTAAACAAATCAAGTTTCAACTAGATTTAACAAAAAAAAACATTCAAAGTTGCAACTTATAATAGAAAGAAACATACATCATCAATCTTGTTATAAGGCCATCTCCAACCGAAGGCTGGCCATATGGCTCGTTTTAGCCTTTTGGCCCTCCAAGATATTAATATTTTAATGAATAATACTGATCCATATTTGCCTCTATCTCCAACTGAGGGCCAAAGGGCCATAGGGCTCGTTTTAGCTCTGTCACAAAAATCTGTCTCCCAACTAGGGCCAAACATAATTTATTATTTAAATTTAAAAACTACAACTTATATTTAAAAACTACAACTTAAATTTA